CAGTTGTTCCAAAACCACGCTGCATTCCTTGCCCATTCCACATCACGTCTCGCCTAGCACCTCCTTAGAGCATCGAAACCCAGCCGCGTAGCCCGAAAATGGCCGTATTGGATGGTCAGGATTTGGGAGACCGCTTCACATTCTCTTTCCTTTTCTTTTGAGGTGATACTTCTCCGCTTGGTGCAAGTTCCGCCACTGGATTATGCGCTCGGTTCTTCTGCAACCGCCTTACATAGCTTCAAAGCAGCGATTACGATGGTTGGAGGGTGATGCGATTTTGTTGGCATCGATTAACGTCTTTGGTGAAAGAACATTGGGAGGCGAACCTGATCACACTCCTGGTTTGGTAAGAAATTATACCACACAACATTTGGAAAACCGCACCATCCATCCATCGCGACCACTACCTTTAACCCCGTGCTAACGCATGACCACTTGCTCTTATCCATAGCCCTTTTCAGCGATAAGGAGCCCTACGCTAAACAACTTGATCTCAAAACCAATACCTAACTTTTCTTCTACCGGAAGTATAAAAATTCAAACAAGTTGGTAAGGAATAAACGACAACACTCTCGCCATCCGTTGTCGATAATGACGGCAAACTGTACTGAATTACAATGCAGAAACATAGCAGAAAAAATGGAATTTGAAATAGACGAGGTAATTTGGAAGTGGTATGAAAGGCAACTTATTCAAGATTCTTCTTAGCGAGTTTTATAAGTGCAATCTCATCCCTTTGAAATCTATTTATTTTGCAAATTCGATTTCAAACATACTTGGGTGAATCTGCGCGGTGTTATAGGAGATTCAGTAAACACCAATGATTCGGGAATGCTGTTTACCTTGATCTCATCCCAAAATGACTTTATTGCCTGGAAATCACTATTCGTTCACACAAAAATACCTGGAAATCTCAACGGATGAAAGAAGTATGGTTAGGTGGATTTCACCTGGTAAACTGCTATGAAATAAGACGAGGTGGGATTGGACGGAACCATTCCGAAATTTTCACCGGTATAGTTGCCCGATGCCCAAGTAGAGCCATTGGATGGGCAGGTATTCGCATATTTCTGCGCATCGCGCTCGAGATCCATGCTGTATGCCTGGAAAACGTAGGAATATAGTTTTAACGAGGAAATCACTGCAAAAGGCAAACAAGAAAATGAGTTTCATTGAGAAAACAAAGTTTGGTTATGTATGGCTCATTCAAGGAATTGTGCACATAAACTCAATACTTCTACTTCCTTTTCGTGAACAATCCGAAAATCGTGATTTCGTGAACAATTCTGAAAAAAACTGTTGCCATTTCAGAGGCCGCTATAGAATGTCCTAAATTTCCAGCAGCAGAGAGGCATCCATTCATTTCTTAGATTGTTGTCACAAAGGCATCGTTTCAGCTTCCCATCATGAGGAGGACGGTTCCTCTTTCATAGCTTTCTAGTTTGCCGCCCTTATCTGGCGACGCAACTAGTATGTATGCCGCCATTTCGTACCTCATCGGACATTGGCAACTATACAGTGCGTACCAAAAGTATGTGGACACCCTAAAATTTTCCTTCTCTGAGAAACTGTTGACTTCTGCACCATGAGATCGCCACCATTCTCGGATACGGAAACCTTAGATTTTCTCATTTCTCACCGTTTTACATGCAGCTTTAAATTTTTTTAATTAATGGAAAAACTTTCCCCTGCTTTCCCTGTATCAAAAATGTGGACACTTTCAGAAATGTAGCAACCTGTAAGGTCACTTGGGGTACTACATTTTCTTCAATGGCGCTAAAGCAGTGAACCACTATCCCCTACGTTTTTAATAACATTGTGGTCCGGAACCCTCGCATTGCCTCCTTCCCAAATGGAATACGTGTAGGGGATCCCCCTTGGGCTTGCTGCAAAACAAGTGTTTTGTGACCTGGCTTCTCGAAAAAGGTATAGTCGGGATCCAAGCACCTCATTATAATCCTAATTGTCTACCTGACATGTTGGCAAGCCAACTCCAATTTTCCCTTCTTTTGAAACCACCCCAGACAATTGATGAGCCTCCTCCGAAATGTCTTTGAGTACAGCTGCGGGTCACGACGAAGGTCCCTCCATTAGCAACGAGATCCACCCGAATAGCCAAAGATAAGCTTTTTCTCACCAGTCGAGGTTGTCTAAGGGGAATTTTCCACAGAGCGTCTTTTATTCTTATCTTATTGTTTTCACAAAAGCGCTGTCTGTCCGGGTTCAACGTCCCATGTTGTGATTTTATTTTTGAACGGGAATTCCAACCTTGCCAATCTGTGCTGCGCATCCATACACGAAGCTTTCTTCATCTTCTCTCGTGTCGTGTGCTCACTCGATTGGATGGAACACCGAGTGGTTTTTTAAGAGGGAAGTCATTTAAGCGCGAACGCGGATAGCAGACCAAAGAAATTTTGAGACAGTACAGGCTATTTTGTGTTGTTTTGAACAAGTAACGATTGAAGACGACAATCAGTGTTGGGAGCTTATCGTTAGCTCAGAATTCTCGATCCCAACAAACGAGGACGCACGACTTGTAGGTTATCGACCACTAGGAGTTGAATGGTGAAGGTTTCATGACACAAAAAGCCTTTAGCTGACCCCTGAGAATCGATTTTAGGGTGTCCACATACTTTTGGTACGCACTGTATATGCCATACCCATTACATTTATTTTTACCCATTTTTCCAGTTTTTTTTTGTGTTCATTTTATAGGCCATACATCAACATAACCAAGAACCACGTGGCTTACAGAATGGCCAAATATTCTTAGTTTGGCAGAGGTTTTCCAGACCTTGACGAAAATATCCGTTCAGTTCATTCCTCATTTTCTTTTCATTAACGCGAACATGTGATAAAAAGAATAATAGAAGTGAATACAAACTATCGTGTGGCAAGATATGTGTTTTTACTGAAACAACCACGTCCAAATAATTTTGGAAACCACTAAAGGGAAAGTAAGTGAAATTTGCCTTTTCATGGCCTTAACACGTCATTTCGGTCGAACTTCCATTACTGTAACTCCCGATAAGTTAGACAGATCGAACATTATTGAAAACACTTGTCGCATCTAAGTGTTGCGTATTTACAGCCGATTTCATGTGAGGCGGCGGCGCTCGCAAATCGCTCTGGTCCCACGCGGCCAAAAAAGCCAAAACGCGCGAAGTCGTCAACGTGTTAATAGATGTTTCTCATTCATGAGTGTTATGATGCCCTATACAATAAGAAACACTTTGTTGTGCACACGCCACCTCCAAGAAGTTTGGTGCTACAAGTGGAAGGAAACACAGCGGAAGGCGCAAGGGTTATGCCAAGAAAGGAGATTTCGGGGCTTGCCTAGGGACCACTATGGTCAACAAAAATCCATAGATGTGAGATAAGTGACCTGGGCCGGCAAAATCGCTCCTGTTCCACGCTGCATAAAGAGCCAAACACGCAATGTCGTCGATGTGTTGCAGAATATGGTCGCGCTGGCTTTGAGGTGGACCTGCACACTACGCCTTATCGGCCGAAAGATTCGAGATGAAAGCTGAGCTGGACGAGCGTAACCCCGCGGAAGATATGATATGATAAGATAAGGCGATACGGCCGCTCTGAGACTTGGAGAGATGTACACTCCAGAATGAAAATCGAACGATAACGGTATCATATCAAGTACGCTGCCACTGCAACCCCTTCCACATCGATACGTAGGTGTTTTGCTACCCGGAAGTGGGTTCGGCGCCTTATCACGCCATTGATGGAGCGCCCTGCTCGTGAAGCAACACATATCAGCTTAGTGGGTAGGTATCCTGCCCAAACCACTATGTAGATTTCCCATTCGTTTCCATGAGATTTATGGTGACCACCTCTTTTGAAGGCAGTGATTACGATAGATTCAAGAAGGGTTTATAGGAGACTGGTGGTGCTCAATGGTACGCCAGTGGCGAAAAAAGCGGAGAAATCCGTCAAGAAACGCAAAAGGACCCCTTTTTTGGCCGTTGGTTTTCACTCATGAACAGGTAACAGCTCAGAAAACAGGCGTATGGATGGCTGCTGGCAACGCAGCTCGTCCAAATCACCAAGTAAACTAGTGGGCGGATCGCTTTTGGGGGCGGAGTGCTTTCGAAGTCCTGCTCAGCAACCAGCGCACCTTTCGTTGTGAAAGCGCCACATCTCGCTTCCCTGGCAGCCAAGTAACTGATTCGTGTGGTGCATATGCTTCCCGATGCGCTCCCGCTTCATCGTAATCGCTGCCTTCTAAGCCGTCGGGGTCGCTCTTTGTTGCCACGCGGGTCTTGGGTTGGTAGGTACCTCAAACTTGGGTAATTAAACTTTTATTACATATTTTACATTATATACAATACCTAAAGAAGAAGGAAAAACGACTGAATCTATGGAAATCTGTCGGGCTTATATTCAGTGGATAATGGGCGGAGCAAGCTATATGTATACATTCCTCAATACTGATCAGCCAGCAGATAATAATTTCTTCAAGTTACAGAATGAATCACAGTACAAAGTACACTAAAAAGACACCAATAAGTAAGGAAATCGGCCATGATAATAAAATACAATCACACCAAAATAATCTAAGATCATAGAGAGTCGTCTCTATACTCCCGGGCAAAGCAGTGGCTGGCCAGTCTTCACGTCAAAATTCTTGCTTCCGTTCCCTTTCAGGTGCGATTTCTCGACGGTGTCGAGCCGTGTCGTCTTTCGCTTTTGTCCACACGTTCTCGACGTCTGCTTTCGTGTGGGCTACCGCTGCGCTCTCGTCCCATTCCTTGCTGTTCTTGCGATTGATCACGAGTTGAACGCTTCCGCTTTCTGGTTTCGCGCTCCAGCCGGGCTTGCAAGTCACGCATCTCCCTTTCGAGCCTCGATTCCCTCGACTGACAGCTCCTTCGCCTGTCCCTGAGTTCCTCCATTGTTCTCGAAGATTGTGCTCTTTCCTTATCCTTCGATTCCTTTTCAATCGACCGGTAGACCTCACGCGTTTCATCTCTTACAGCATTCAGCTCCCTTTCGGTTTCGCTCATTTGCCGTCGAATTCTGTCCAGCTCCGTGCTGGGTTCCGCCGGGCCAGTATTCGTGTCGGAAAGGCGCGAGTTAAGCTCTTCGAAGCGCTCATGGATATACCTGATGTCGAAGGCCAGTGCCGTAAAGTTGGAGGAGGAAATTTCTTCTCGTAAGTGCCGGAATTCTTCTTGCAACTTTCTCCAGTTCTCTTCGTTGGTCTGGTCACCCTTTGCTGAACTGTCTCTTTGCATGTGTTCTTTGAGCTCCTTTTCCATCTGGTTGAAGCGGTCCGTGAGGAGGTTCATCTTCGAATCGAGCCTTTCGAGCTTTGCCTCGTTCGATTTGTGCATCTTGACGTTTTCCTCGTGGTATGCCTTCATTAACCTCTCAAGATTCTCAAGCCGTTCTGCCGTTTCCTGCGAGGAGGTCACTGTGACAGCTGGGGCGAGTTGATCCACCTTACTGGCGGCTACATGGAGAATTCTGCTGCCTTGTTGAAGAAGCTCTTTCAGCATTGTTCCTGAAGCGCGACCCTTTTTTGGTGGAAGAGATCTTTCTTCCGTTGAAGACGAGGAGGATGAGAGGACGTGTCCCTCTTGCGTTTGGAGATGGAAGCGGTTCCGGACACGGCTGGCGCCACTGACTTTGCCGTGGGATTTGATCGTTTTGACTGTGATGTCAATTTAGTTTGAGAAGTCGCCTTTGACGTTGGTGGCATGGTGGCGTTAACGTCTGTTTCCTTTGTAGCAGATGGCGTCTTCTTATATTTTTCCATGGCTAAAATGCGAACTACACTAGGAAAAATGAAATACAAGTAAGTGGTTCCATGCGACGGATAAAATCTGGATCGAATCGATGCCGCATCTCAGAGTAGCTTTTCCAATCTTTTCTTCGGTGGTCGAATCATGGAAAGAATGGTTATCCACACTGTCGCCATGGTTCTTATGATGATGCGTAGAAGTCCCTTTGCAATCTTCAGGGGTATTTGGAGTGTTTTAAGAGCAATGGCTAACCCGCAGCTCCACAAAAGTAAGTATCCTACTATCACTGCGAGGATGAGTACGATACCGGCCGCGATGACAGTCTTGTACCAGTGAAGGATGACATCAAAAATATGTCCGGAAATCCGGAAATACTAACTCATCGTATACGCTGCTTTCGCCGCTGATGACCTTCACTGTAGATCCGTGAATCGTACGGATCCATTGTAGAATTCCCGTGATTTCAAAGGTATTTTCAGAACTACCACACGAAACCTTACAACGCTTCATCAATCTTGCCGATTTGTGTGTGAAACGTAGCGTAGAAATCGCTCCTTCTCTTCTACACGGAATCGTGAAGGATTGATCATCGCATGTTATC